TCTCTCGTTATCTTTTTTTTCTTCTTCTTTCCCCTCGTCCTATAATGCATGTGTGACAGTGCTGCGATCTGGGCTACCATGCTAGTCTGCACCGGGCCCTGAGGACCTACCTGTCTGCAGAGCAGAACGTAGAGACGTCTAAGCACACGGGTCTGGAAACACTGGAAGGAGCAGCGGAGAGCCTGGAGGCCAACGCAGACAAGCAGAAGCTGATGGAGACCTACAACAACGTCTTCTGCCCGCCGGCTCGATTTGATTTTCAGTCTCACATGGGCGACACGGTACGGATCGCCTTCCGTTAGCGTTGTCTGCGTAAAAGGCGAAGAATTTATTAGTGAAAAGTGCTGTTTTTTTGTGTGTTTTTGTAGATGGGTGTGATGTGTGCGCAATCTCCTCTGGAAACCGACCTCAGCCAGAGGTGTCAGCAGCTGCAGTCACGCCTCTCCACTCTGAAGATCGAGAATGAAGAGGTGAGAAGCCCCGTTGATCTCGCCTTCATGCTCCTCCCTTTCTTTCTGGGACACCGGGTTGATTTGTTTGTTTCCCCCTGCCGTCCCCTTTCCTCAGGTGAAAAAAACCATGGAGGCCACTCTGTCCACCATCCAAGACATGGTGACGGTGGAGGACTACGACGTGTCCGAGTGCTTCCACCACAGCCACAGCATGGAGTCGGTGAAGTCCACGTTCAGCGAGTCGTATCTGAGCAAACCCAGCCTGGCCAAGCGGCGGGCCAATCAGCAGGAGACCGAGCAGTTTTACTTCACGGTTAGTCCCCAAAAATACAGAACCACGCAGTTTGAGAAACGAGCCTGGCCTCCATCTGATAAATCCACTTCATTACCCTAAAAACAGGAGAAAATACACACTAGTGGTGATGTTATGAGATGAGCTGAAGCGTGTCGAATAATGGAGGGGCCTTTTTCTCGAGGCGTGATTCATTTAGGGGAGGGGCCAGAATTGATGATGTCCGAAGCCTCGCTACCGTGATACCACATGACGGCTTCAGGAAGTGGTTCAGAAAGCACAAGAACTTTGACCGTAGTGTTTGTAGGACTAGTTTGGATAGATTCCAAAAATAGATTGGTTGGAAAAACAACCAATCTAGTTGGTTAAAACTAGTTTAGTTAGATGAAGCAATGTAATGATCAAAATCTGAGCAAGCTGCTGGATACAGTTGTAACTTTAGTGCTAAGTATTATTGCTGTCTGTTGAACGGTTATTAATGTTGGCAGCTAGAGACTTCTAGCCTGTCCAAAAGGCATTTTTGATTTTTCTATCTGGATCACTGAAATGCATCAGAACACATTTTAAATTTGTTTCTTTTTAACTTTAAAATGTATTTAAAAGGTTGTAACTTGCTTCTTTTAATCCCTTGTGATGTTAAGACACATTAAGAGAGATGGTGTTGAAAAAAGAGCCGGAGAAGTTTGGAATCGTTTTTCATTAATTCTCACGTTTATGTCTCCGACAAAAGCACAGAGATAACGTTGGGATATTTTCTTTAAAACTTTTGTGTAAATACTGTTAAATTAAGTGATGATGTCATATCAGCCCAAACCTTGATAATGTTATCTTTGAAAGCAAGCAAAAAAGAGCCCTGATGTGCATATATGGAGTGAATTTTGTTCCATTATTGTTGCACACTTTTTTTTTTTTTTTTAAGAAAGTGCAATCGAGAAATTAAACTAAAAAGGTTTTGAGTTACTTTGTTGTTTTCTCGCATTTTATAAGATATATATATATTATTATTTTTTTGTGATAATTTTTTTATGGTGTTTTTTCAAATTTCACTTTTTCAGTTTCAGTTTTTTACAGATTACATTCTTTTCAAATTGCATTTTACAGAACCAATTGTCTTCACTTTATGAAGAACCAGGGCTTGAATTGAAGTTTATCCGGTGTGCAAAACACAATTTAAAAAGAATGCAAGTCATAAAAATCAGTCTTAAAATAAAAAAAAATTGAAAATATGTTTTAGAAGTAAAAACGAAGAAAAAATATATTTATTTTTTTCTGAAAGACAAGCAGTTTTTTTTTTATATATATATATATAAGAAGTTTTCTGGATTGTGTTTTGTTTTTTAAAATTTCCACCTTCCCTGCTTGCAACAACAATGATACAAAATTCACTCCGTAAGTGCAAGCTTTCAAACAGCTTTACAATCTGCAGCCACACTGACCCTGCTGCGTGGATGTATGGTTGTGTTATAGAAGCTGAAGGAGTTTCTGGAAGGAAGGAGTCTGATCACCAAGCTGGAGGCCAAGCATGACCTAATCCAGAAGACTCTGGGTGAGAGTGAGTGTCCTTCATACCTTCCAAATATTGCCTCTTTTTCTAGTCGTGTGAGTCCCCTGTAAAGCTTGATGTATACTATAAAATTGTAGGTGACTGCAGACAGGAGGCCTCTGATTGGTCAAATCTACATCCGCTCTACACTATGCATATTTCCTGTTTGGTACCCTACCGGTAGTTTTGTTTGTAAAGAAAGACTTGTGAAGTTGGACCAGATAGAAGAGCGAGGTGCGCGAGAACGCTGGGACCCTTTTTCCACCTGGTTCCCCGCTCTTAGTTGCCCTCATGTCCCTCCGTTGTCACACCAACTTGCCCCTTCTTCCTCACCGCCTAGGCCATATCTAGACCGTCAGCTAGTTCATGATTTCCCCTTTTCCGTTGTGGCATAGAATAACATGGCGCAGACCATACTTCAACATTTGGCATAAATCTAAAATATCTGCAGAAAGCTCACTGAGACACATAGGATAACCAGCCCTTAAGGGGTGGGGGGGGGGTCAGGGAGATGGGGAATGTGGCACAGACACATCGGGGTCACAGCAGTGAAGCAGAAAGAGTTTAATAAATCTAATAATCACAAGCTGTGTGTGAGTTAAAGGGAAGGTCGCAGCAGCTCTGACCATATGTGGATGCAGCTGTGCCCTCCAACATGTCTGCTTGGGGTGTGTTCCTCCTGCTCACACATGTCACAGTTTCCACAGCCTCAGAAAACATCTTTATTATTATATCTATGTGTGCACCCTGAAAAGGGAACTTAATGTCCCTGTTTTCATCTAAAGCCATTTCCTCATGAGTCTTGTTCCTGTTATAAACGCCTATCTCTGTGTCTCCTCTATAAACCCCCCTCTTCCCTCTTCCCTCTTCCACTCCCTTTCTTCTTCTTCTTCCTGTTTCTCCCTCCTATAGGTCAGAAAACGGACTGTTGCCCTGCCAGGTAGGTGTGGCTAAGGAAGGAAATATGCTCTCTCACACACTCATAAATGTGCGCTTATACATCTCTGCCAGTGGTCTTTGTGGCTGTTTCTCAAACACATATGAGTCTGCTAGTACAAATAGAGCATAACAAGAGTCGTGCATATAAATAGACTTTCTCTGGTGACATAATGACAGAGTGCTGTTACCAATTTTTCTTTTTTCTCCCTCCATAGTGGAAGGAGAAATTCAACCGTGCGGAAGCAGGTAATTATCTGTCTCAGGGTGTTTTTGCTCTAAAATTCGACTTCTTTCTTCATCTTTTACAGGGGGAAAGAAATAATAGCTGCAAATTTGGGTTGTTATTTGACCTAGATGACAAATTATACACATATGGGGGGCTAAATGATCAAAGGAGACTTTCTAAGTGAAAAAAAAAACTTCAGTTTGTAGCGCCCCCTGGTGGACTGTTCTGGAGTATTTTTACAGTGTGAAGATTAACCAGTTTAGTTTCTAGTGTTAGAATAAACCTTCATCCAATAGATTTCATTTTCTTTAGCATAAATAATAGTTTCCACTGTATAATAATTTGTAGCCAAACCTCCCTGGGTTTCTGGAAAAGCGAGACAAAGAGAAAGGAAAAAGTGTGGTTTCCTAGCAACAGCTGCACCCGTCATGTCTACCTTATGTCTGATATGTTTTACCCCCTAAATGGGTTCATCTGTGCAAATTGCTGTGCCAGCATGCATCATGAAGAAACGGACTGTGTGTGCGTGTGTCGCATTTTTTCCCACCTATTTCCAGTAATAGCTTTCTAATTTCCCTCTTTCAGGACTCAGGTGAAACCATTCCACTGATGGTCGAGAGCTGCATCCGCTTCATTAGTCGCCATGGTGAGAAAAACCTCCCTGTTAGGTGATAGGTTCAGGCCCAGCTTTACTATTCCCTGATTGGTTGTTGACTTTTTAGTCTGAACAGTTGGATTGATTCTGAGTTTGCTTAAGAAAAACACTTTGTTTACTTTGTATCCTAAACCTGTGAGAAAGAGAAAAATAAGCATTAGATCTGAGTTGGTAAAAGATTCATACAGTGTTATAAGTTTGAAAAAGATACCTTAAAGAAATTTCACAAAAACTGAGAAAAAAAAAAACATTTTAAATATAATAATTATGTCAGTTGCTGCCAATATACATATATATTTTATATACTATATATATATTTTACTGCTGTATTTAAT